TATCGCACACCATAAATCCTCGCATATCTGCCTCGTCTTCTTCATGCTGCTGGCTCATTTTCTTCACTATGTGAACACGCAATGGGGCAGACGGAAGGGTAGAGCGGGACTGAACAGTAAATCAAAACTATTTGTTCATTGTATTCTGACGCATAATGAACATCATCAGAGCCAATAGAATCCTAGGCGGATCGTATTGCATGAAACATTGCAGTTATAAAAATCTCAGTATACTTCAACAAGTTAAATCAGCTGTATCGTCTTTATCGATGACAATGTCTTCGGTTCTATATATCTCTAGGTCAACAACTGATAGAAACTGTTGTGTGTTGTGTTGTTTTAGTGCAACACATTGATATCCACTGCTCACCATGCTTATTCAGAAAACGTACATTGAATAAAGTAACATAGGTCAACAATGTACTTTGATTCCTATGCTTAATCAATCCAAACGCATTGACACTTTAACTTCAAGTTATAGGTACACAAAGAACTGGTCACTATTCAGTGCAGGATTCCAACCGTGTCTTCTTACTTTTGCATGCTTTATTCCATGATCTCAATATTTTGGCTCAAAATAACCTATTACCCACCCCATCTGAAAAGAAATGATTTGTACGCATTTTTCAATACGCTGTGTTGAAGTAGTAGTCTAACGATGAAGTAGCTACAATCTCCCGCTCGTTTTTAACCATCGGGACCCAGAAAAGCTTTGACCAATCCTTATGTTTTCGTTACTCTGTTGAGACCATCATTAGCTTTTTGAACATGGAAAAGGAATTGGAAACCAATCAAGAAACAAGGAACTCGCAATTTGTGTGAGACCTTTTCGACAAAATTGACAAAATTTCGTTTTACATGTAGGTCTTGAGACAACCAATAAGCGAATGGTGGATATATGTCGAAAGGTGTGCTGAACGCATGGGATGGGATGGGGGTAACCATTAGATGATTTACGAGAGCCTCATATTTGAACTGAATTTGGTTTCACAGTGAGTTAGTTTGTCACATCACTGATCTGTTTTTCCTTCACTGAGCTTAACGATGTGTTGTGGGGGTCGAAAAATGTAGTTAATGGATTGAACTGAAATGATGGTTACCTTTTCAGACATAGATCGGGACTGTTTACAAAATATATCCCATGAAATTAAACGTTTTTCTCGTAGTCGTGCTCGTTGAGCGCGCTCCCGAACGCACCAGTCCTTTAAATAATTAGGAACAANAACAACGGTTTGTTTGATTCACTGGCGCAAATCTAATCAACTGAATACACGAGAGCTGAAGTTTGGTTCAACTGAATTCGTACTACTAATGGCTGTACCGGCCCAACTTTGTTTACACACAAACACTGACCTCTTCCATCTCACAGATAGTCCGAACTTACCTCCCACGCACGCGCACGTTCTCCTCAAGCTAACCTCCAGTTTTCCTTCTCTCTCTCTGTAAATCTCAGGGGTTGCATTTTTTCCAAACAAATATCGATCGATTCACTGCGAACGCAAGAAGTTGTGTGTGTATGTGTCTGTATATGTGTTTGTTCGGGGTCACCTGATGGTTCCGTGAGACTTGTCCTCGCTCAGCCTGCTGATTGACTCCATGGTCTTGGACATGCGTCAGTAATCCGATTCGGAGTGCAACATCGTCGTGAGCGACGGAGAACTCTGTAGAACAGTGTGATTTGTAATTTGTTATCGACCTCTGGATTGGTGGCGTTTGCCGAAATTGGGAGGAGTCGCAGATCTGCTTGTGCATGCATACGTGCATGGGGTGTGGTTGTTAAGGCTAGAAGGGATTGTTGCAGGGTGAGTTGAGAGGTCAACAGAATGCGAGTGGCTTGTTCTTGTTTTATGTAGAAACGTTCAAATGTGGTGTTCAAAGAAGGGGATGGACATTGAGAACATCACGTGGTCTGTATAGTTAACAAAAAAATATGGTAGATAATGAAAAGAGCAGACTCGTGGAAATAATAAAACTAAAAACCCATGTTGTCCCTGGAATTTAAAAGGATCCTAGGAAAATACCAGGCATGGTGCATTCTGGTACGTTAATAATAGAATATACTGGAGCCAAATGTATAAGGTAAACAAGTGGCCGGTCACTTTATTGCATTGTTCTGTTTCAGTTATTCCGTAGGTTTCACTTGTGAATAGCACTCGGGATAAAATTGAAGTTCGTGCATTCCATGTGGTTGAAGAACCTTTATGACAGCCTGACTGCATCTGATAGTACCTTGCTCTAATCATGACAGTTGTACGCTGCGTCGGTCCACCTTAGGCTTCCGTCAACCGCTTCTTCGATATTGAAACATTTTTCCGACAACGCCATAATAGTTGCTTAGGGACTTAGGTGATTGGGGAGCTTGAACGGGTTCAAACCCAAACTATCTCATGGCTGCTCACTTTATCACCACTTAGTGCAATGTCAAATTTTTCTTTCTGGCGCGTTTTATAGTTCGACGCGGTGTGTATTTTATCAAAACTAGATAGTGATCATAACCTGAGACTGCGTATTGTGCAAGTACAAAGAAAAATTCATTGGGGTCAGGCCCCTGGTGTGAATGAAAGCAGAATAAACTGAAAAGAGCAATGCAATCTGACAGCACAAATGACTGTTTGCAACACGTAATGAACACAGAACGACGTAATTCGAGAGAGTCATGAGACTAATTCTGAATTAGGGTGTTGGTGGATTGTTAGTCCTGTATGATCGCCTTTACTACGTGGAATATTAGACAGCTTCTAGAATTATCTATGCGAAATGGGGTGTATACTTACAACTAAAAAGATCGACATACTATTTTTGATACAGCATCAATGTGAAGTGTATGCGTAAGACTGAGATGGCACTGACCGCGCCGAAACAGATTCGCATTGATTGACACATTTGAGGAGGGAGAAATCAATTCAACACATTGTTTTGCGGGTGTCAGTCAGTCATATTTGTGTACACCGAATGGTCAGTTTAATTTACTTCACCAAAAGTGAACAAACAGAGAGACTTTTATGCAAATTCGGACATACCCAACTGTGGTTCAGTTATTTAGGCCGGTGTCACTGCTTTATTAGTCACGTTTCCTTGAAACCCGCGTGCGCACCCGAAGGCGTTCCAGCGTCCCATCACAGTGTACTGTTTTCAGGGCTGTTTTGGCTCTTCATTTTTGATACGATGATCATACACATTGACCGTTACCATTTTG